ACGGTAGTTCAAAATATAAAATCGATTTTTAGTTTACTTTTTTACTTGCTAATTAAGTGTATCAGACATGTTTCTAAATCCGTTTCCTAGTTTCGTATACAAAATCACTATAGTTCATCGGACTTCTACACCTTGACCAAACGGAAGACGGTATACCATACGGCAATCTAATGACTGATGATTTATTATTATTAAACCAGAAAAAAGTTAGTCTGTTGGTTGGATATCTGTCATCAATTCTGTAGCGGGCCACAGAGAATAAATGGGGCATACCTGAATGACATCTAAATAAATTACATTATCGATAGTGTAATGGTCGATAGAGATTTATCGACATCCCAGAAATCCACGTGCCGGATTTTGCCGATGAATCAACGTATGTTATTCAATAAGCAAATGTTTTATTTACTTGGCAACTTTATAACAAGGCTCCTCAATTCAGGAGGGTTGAGAATTCCTAAATATAATTCGGCCGCCTTTAGAGGGTCGTTCAGTTACTCAGCGACAAAATGCTGGAATAATATTCCACCGCCAGCCCATAATTATAATAGTTTATTTGGCTTCAAAAAATTCTACAAAGCATTTTTATTAAACTATCAGAACACTTTGCCGCTGGGCGCAAGAATTTCTCCCTCCTATTTACGCCAATAATTTCTAATTTCTATTTTTATCATTTATTGCTTCCTAATGTTTACCACTAAAGTCACTGTTATATAGTATCGAATGGTTGTATGTGCGCTGTCTAACAGACAAACGGTAGGGGTTTTGCTGAAAATCAGTGTTGTAGCATAATAACCGTGCTAGCAACCTGGGTTATGCTGACGTAAGACCCTTTTGGCATCATTTTAAACAAAATTTAATTTAATCTTGTCGTAGTATTATTGTTTTACTTTTATTATTGTTATTCTTTATTGTAATTACATTTATTTTTATTACGTCTAATAATTGTACAAAATGAATGCTAAATAAAGATATTATTATTATTATATTATTATTATTATTTTTTTACACAAAAAGCCAATACTTAATAGTTTCTTCCCGGATATTTTAACAGTTTACTGTGCGTATCTTCTCCTAGCTCGTTCAGAAGCAAGTAAATAAATTTAAAAATGATTTTAGATTGAAGTAATTCTACGACACGGTTGCTGTAACCAATTGAGCTACCGGTCAAATGACAAGCTCGTTGCCTTTGTCGTTAAATTATTTCTTTTAAAATCAATTTTTAATTTATATAATGCCTATATAAATGTTAAGTTGTCAAACAAGTACATAGTACCGGACTATAAAAAAATTAAAATAGAAAAGGTTTTTTTTTTTATATCGGGCCGGTGGGTCGTAACAGGCAAGGCAAAATAATATTTCTACTACATTTTTTAAATCTCAGCAGCCGAGTACCTACACATACACATCAGATAATTAACGTTCAGAAATAAGAGGAATTATTTACAAACACGTAGAAATTCAATCCGAGACTCGTTAATCTTATGCTACTAGTGCACCATCAAGTCTGCTAAAATCAATATCTATTGATAAATATTTTTTTCGGCTAGCTGTAGCGTTACGTAAGCACTTCGTTTTCAATGTTCATCTCATTCGTTTCAGACAAATAAAGATAGAAGATCTTAGTGTCCATAATATTAGTTCTGGTGCAGTTATGTTCCAGTAAACTTATAAAGGAGAATTTCAACTGTAAATTCAAGTGGCGCGCTAAAATAAAATCATAAAACAAAAGATGATTTATACGAACATCTAGAAGCATATCTGTGTGAAATATTATTGTAGCAGATATAAATTGTTGTATTTGCCGATTGTAGGCGACTGGGCTACCCGGCGACGATGACGTCACGATCTGCGCGCGCACCCCGTCCGTCATCGATCCGAGGCGACGCTTTAAGCTCCGAAAAGCGCTTTCCATTAATCACAATAGCAGAATATAATACAACGTTAAAGCGCTACATTATTTACTTGTTATTTTCTTTTTCAGGTTTCGAATTTTCTTATTGAGCTTTCTCCCATAATATTAGCTCTGGTTCGTTACACTTTATGGTAACGCACGTTATATAACTAGGCTTACTTAGAATATAAGATTATTTTAAATATATAAGAAAACGCAAGAATAAAGTTAAGTACTATCTGTAGTTTACACAACTAGTATAAAAAAAACACTATGAACGATTTAAAACGCGAAATGAATTAGTTAAACCATTTGAAACAATTTATAAATAAGTGTAAAAAATACATTTCGAGTTCAAACCCCGTAAAAGTGATTACTTAAAACATTAAGTTATTTCAAGCTAGTGGGTGTTTCATCAAAATTATCTTTATTTTCATCTATATAAGAACACTAAAATAAGCACTCCGGTTAAAACTACTTAAGTTTTCTTCGATGCTTTCAAATACGTAATATTACTCGAAATAACTTTATATTAATAACTATACTTCGCCTATGAACAAGGAAGGTCAGCAAACCCATTTATAACGTGAACAATAGTTCACAATAATATCAACCAGTTCGCGAGTACTTAAGTAGTTTCTGAAGCTGCTACAAAGCCCGACAATTATATAGGTTTCCATGCAAAGTCGTCATACGCTACGAACACGCGGTATGACGCAATGCACCCAATAGTTATCCCAACAAGGATTACTTCCATGGGCACTGTCCAAGTGATACGCTTTTAAAGAATGAAAGAAGGCATTGCCTGTGGTTTACGCGAGTAGTACACATTTAATGCTTTGCAGTAGGAACCGTGACCACGGCGTCTGCAAAGGATCCGAACGTCGAATCGAGTTAATTTCAATAAGGAATAATGTCAACTAGTATATTTCACATTTTAATCCGTTAAACGGGTTTTATTTATTTGAAAGGAAGTGAGTATTTTTTTAATCCGTTACAAAGCAACTATCTTAAACAAACTGTCCAAGGAGAATTCAATCTCAGAAACTGTGATAGATTAAAATTTTCACAAAGTAGGAATGTCTGATGCTGCTGGTAACACAAATTAAAATTAAATTAGTCTTCCAAATTACAGACGCGATTCTTGTTCCCTTTTCAATATGAATATTAGTAATAGGTAGACTTGAAATAAATTTACTAATTACTTAATAATAATAATAAAGAAATTTAAAGTATTAATTGCTCTATATCAATAATAATAATAGGGACAGGGGCAAATGAAATAAATTAAATAAAATGTATGCACATATATTTTACTTAATACTTACTTACTTACTTTTTTAATTAATCTTTAGTAGTAGTAAAAAGGCTTTTCGAACTCGTTCTTGCTCTGTTTTTTGTATCTAATGATATATATATATGGTACAAGCCATATAATTCTTATTAGATTTGTTTAAATGAAATATAAAAAAGGTGGTTAAGCCCTGTACATTCGAATGCAATCATAAATAATAGACACTTATTTAAAGTGTTTGTATCAATAAATTGTCTCAAACGTTTGATATTGTCATCGCTACCTCTTATGACTTGCACTTACATCTTATTGTTTGACGTTCGTTTGATTTATGGCTGCAGGCTTGCCTTTATTTCAGTTCTCTGAAAGTCATCATTCGGTTTTTACGATCGTCGATACGAATAGTCACTGTGCGGATACAATTACGGAAATCGAATTATTTAGGATATTCAGAAGTGTTCACTAGTTACCGTTAACAAGCGTCTTACATAAACTTTTATTAAATAAAAAAAATCTTTTGCTTTGTCAAATCCATCATCTATCAAAATTTTTACACAACCACAATGTCTTACCACCCTCAATTGTTTTTTATAGTCTTTCATACGAACTTAAATTAGCCACTCAGTAAAGCGGCGAATCGATTGATGATTAATTTTCTTTTACTATCTGTACAAACAAACAATATGATTTTTTTAGAACTATCAAATAAAACTTAAGGCTTTAAATGATCTCATTAGATAACACCTTCGTTTTACTGGTAAGGTGACTCAAAAAATCTTATAGATTTCCTTTCATTAAGCAAACTAAGCAAATTACAGTTTTGGCTTACTATATACTAGTTATACCACGAGGTAGTTAAATAAAGAACATAATTATCATATTAATAACGTACACGTCTGAGGTTCGATTTACATAAAATATTATGCTAATGCGCCGTAGCTGACGTCATGCTACGGGGGAGACGCGTAGCACCGTAGTAGCGTAGCACGATTGACCCATCTACTCGCTACGGCACGAATGTCCATGATAAAATAAAGTTTACGAAATGTTTCAGAATTCTTTTAATTTTTTTTTAATAAAGCTATTAAACAACCTTCATGCTGTATAGATTTAGCTTTAGACGTTATAAAGTTTGCAGTGAAATATATACATAAAGTTGGAATTGTCTGTAGCTTTTGCAAGTAGTACACATTTAAATAATACACTTTTAACGGTTCAAAACGCGAAATATATTACTTTACATTTTTTAATCACGAACCTCCGAAACGTCAGGCCGTAGTTAAGATATATTAAAACTAAGTTAACTAAATATTTCGTGGCTTTAAAGCGTTAAAGCGGTTTTATTTACATTTTCTTGCGAAAATGTTTTTCCTGTAAGGATGGGTAAAGGGGATAAATTTCGGCGATTTTTCGAGGTTCCCCAGGACCTTTTGCATCATCGCATAACTATATATACTATATATACAGTATACAGCACATAGTAAATAGCAAATAAACTACATATGCGGCTTCTGTTTAATCTATTAGTGATCGACTAAAAATTATTAATATGAACTTACCTTAACGGTTCGTCAGACGATCACCTGCCGCTTGTGTGTCCGAACTAGCCGCCCCCGCATCACAAACCCGGATTAAATTTAATATACTCGCTCACAATACAGTCTCAGTTCGCACTAAACTAAAAAAACATTATAAGCACCGATAGTTCGATCAAGTCTTTCAAAAAAGTGCGGTTACCTAAAGCGGTTTTTGTGTGTTTTGTTACGTGTCGGAGCACGCGCTGTGTACCCGTCCCGCTCCATATAAGGCGTTTTACAAAACGGTTGTCTCTTTCGCGCGAGTACAGTCTGCAACAAAAAACACAATATTCATTTATTCACTAGTATTTAAGCTTTGCCGTAACAAATAAAATACAAAATCAAGTTCACCTATAAGTCTTGATTATCTGACAGATATCACAACTTTGACAATAGACTTTGAAATGTCAAAACACACAACAGATAAAAATACAGAACATACCTATACCGAAAGGAACCAGGTGGAATCATTAGTTAATTAATACAAAATGGATATTAAGAACGTGACAGGGCACAATGTGATATGGGTCTGATGTTTATTAGACGTGTTAATCACAGTTTAACCTCAGCTGCTTAAGTTCCTTCGGTTAAAGGTATTTCTTAGTGTGATCGGGAGTAAATGTATATAACCTTTTTAGTAGACCTCGCGCAATGAGAATGCTAAAAGGGATAAAAGTATTTTTAAATAACATTTATAATATTTTTTTTTATTTAGTTATGAGCATGGAACTACCGCTACAGTGCCTTATACAATTTTTTTATGCTAGAGATAGATAGGCAAGCATTACTTGGTGGAAAGTGAACCTTAAAAGTACTTGAAATACCCCACCCATCTAGCATTTCTGCAACATCCACAGGCGTTGCATATACACAAACAGAATTTCTGTATATGCAACGCTGAAATCTAAAAAATACAGAAATCCTCAGACTGAAACCAAAACGCAATTAAACTTCATAGCTTTGTCATCTAAGAATGATATTTCAATATTCCCTTTTAATTTCCCACTCATATTGGGCTCAGTGGGGACCAAACCCCTTGATTAATACCTACACATAGCTTCCATCAAAATAATTATGGTTTACCGTCAAAATGAGTGTAAAGATGAATATAACGTTTACCTTTGCTATCATTAAACGCCTGACAATACATACCGAGCAAATCTATAATAATGATATTGCTTGCCAGATATACTGATAAACGTCCTTATAATTTTCTATACGCGCCGGTTTACTCCTTTACCCCAGGGGCCTAGATAAGCCCAAAACAAGGCCATTAATCTTGTTTTGACGTTTCATAATTAACTTTCTAAGCCACAACGTCACATACGGCACTTGTGGAAAGTAGCAATTACTTTTAATAATAAATAAGCTAAGAACGTCAGTTAAATTAAGAAGAAATCTTCATCAAGTTATAGTAAAAATAACTTTCTTGATTTTAAACAGCACTTATATTCTAAATGATATTTTAATTAACAAAAAGTGGTCAAAGCTTCTACACAGTGGTGTTGAGAACATCTCTAAACGGTCAAAGTACCAGTATGATTTTTTTTTTCAATGGCGATGTTTTCGAACACATAGAAAGAGGAAGTGTTAGGCGCAAGCTAACGGGGAATTAGACCAGCTCCCCGTGCACTGGCTTACTGTGTAGAAAGGACCACGAGTATTCAGCCGTTCAAGTATTATAAGTGTCGAGTCGAGCAGAAAAAATCAATAGCGTGATTGGCGTTTTTGTTCCATCAGAGGGTAGTTGATTAATTACTAAGCGGAGCACTTTGGTACACGGTGCTTTTCTGAAAAATATAGAGATCTACCCTCATGTAATAGTGAAGCGAGATCGAACCTCGGACCCATTATTTTCTTTTAATGATTTTTTTTAAGTAGTGATCGTTATTGTACTAATATAAAAATAATATTGGGTTCGCTTTGCTGCAAACAGCAGCAAATTTTTTTTTTATTATATAATTTTATATATTATGAAGCGTTAGATATTTTTGTCGATAAGTATTTAGTAATGGAATTAGTAACGCATTATTAAAGAATAAGCAGATAATAAAGATAAATGTCGGTATAATACCTAGACGATAAATTTTATTAGCTTATGAAATATTCACTATAATGTACTGTGTGCTTTTAGGTCATCGCTTTATGACATGGAAGTTCGAGTGCCATAAATTTGATGGCAATTAATATTATGCAGATGAGACTGGGTCATTTTCTTATGAGTAATTAAAATCTAATAAGGACTGTCGGCGCCTGGTCGTGACGTCATTATTGAACCTAACAATTGTGTGGTGAAATGTCGTGCTATCCTATTTCGTCTAATCTATACTGGTATATAAAGCTGAAAAGTTTGTTTGTCTGGAACTAAATTAAAAATCATCTTCGCGTTAGTTAGAAAATGTATAAAGGAAGGCTAAACAAATTTTGATGCCCAAGGTAACTAACTATTCTACGCGGACGAAGTCGCTGACATAGCTAAACAATATTCGATGATTCATTTTATAAATGTGATTGTATGTACGACTGTTTGTTACTTTACACGCTTTAACAGCCTATCCGATTTCGTATTTTTTTAGTATTAAATTAATACACAGTCCACATACATAAATTAAGTATACGACGTTTCGGATGCTTTGCAGCAGCCGTAGTCATCATGGGGAGGCGAAACGTAGTTAAAATTATTTTCAGTATTAACAAATATAAATCGCGTTTAAACCGTTAAAGTCTTTTATTTAAAAAATATACAGCAATTAAAATTAAACAGTGTTAGTAACGAAATCCCGCGAAATATCGAAGATTCGTCTTGTCTGTTTGACCCAGTTTTAACTTTTAAGTGGCTTTTAGAGAGAACGTCATATTAGTCGAAGCCTTTGTTTCTTGTCTATAGACTTGGGGACCGACGAGACAGCGGGCGAAGCGGGTAATTAATTATTTACGACGTATATTAATGTGCGTTGATATGAAATTCATTTGAAAAACATATAGTACATATATTTGTACTTTCAATTAAGCTGAAATACCGTCATGCAATATAAAACAAACAATATTTGTTTGTTGTTGTAGTAGAACTTCATTATCAATTTGAAGAAGCTACAAAACTCGCTGAAAATTCAGCCATATATAATGTATATGTATACGAACACATTTTATGACAGTTTCATTGACCAATTTAATAACAGTTTAATGGTTTGAAAACATTAATATTTTTCACATGTTATTGCACATGAAGGCACTATATAATTTAAAAATCGAAATAAATTGAAAAAAAAATCGATTTTTAAGTTTAATGGTTGTTCAGACTTCTTTCAATAATTTTTTGTTTTCCCGGGATCGAAACCCATGTCCTCTCGCGCTTAAAGTTAACCGGTGAGCTACGGAGGTGGTCATACTTCCTTACTAGTTACGTAATTTCTAGAAAGTTATGTAACGTAAGACCGCCTCTGTAGCTAAATGGTTAAACGTGTTGCCTAGCTTTGCGTCAAGCGCGAGAGGTTCTGAGTTCGAATCCCGGGGAAACAAGATATTTATTGTTTCGCTTGGGCAGGATACAGAAGCACCGAACGGTAAACGGACAGAGAATTGTGTGCGCCCTATGCTCCACAGGGGGAAGCTTTTATTTAACTTAGGCTGCTCGATTTTATCACTATCTTAGTTTTAACTTCAATTGTCAATTTTATTAAAAAATCAGACACCAGAACCAGACACCGTCGTCGCCTAGAAAAATGTAAGACGTAATGAAAATCATTCGTAGATCGCGTAACGTTGGGCGACTGGGCGGCGTCAGCTCGCCCTTGACCACCTCATCCCCTTACCCTCAATATCCTTGACATTAATGTTACGACTACAAAAGGAATATGTCCGTGTGTTGGTGTTTTGCTTCATATTACAATCAATTATCCACGATATTGTAATTGACAGGGACATAACGAAAGTTATGGAGAACGAGGTCGGGCGTTATATCAAATATTATCCTATACCTATTGTGATACCTGACAAAGGTCTGAATTTAAATAAGATACACTTTTAACGGGTTAAAACGCAAAATGTTCTAACTTATTTACAATTCATTGTGACAACTAGTTCTCTGTGAGTGCTAAGCATCCGAAACGTCGGGTTGGTATTTCTTATGTAGGAATCTGGAGAAGATTCTAGATAATTTCCCATACTGCAGGTTCTGGCTTTTGCTGTCAATGCCTTAAGTACAAATAAATTAAAAAAGGAGTTTTATTTAAGGCGCTTTTAAACAACATTACAGAGTGTTACAATGCGAACTACATCGCTGCTTATCAAGCTGTTCGGCCGTTGTCATTAAGAAATGGTCTTTGACGTTCCGTCATCTCTCTTATGATGACGTCATCATTCATAAGGAGATGTCGGGGGTTCCTCGATTAAGCGAAGACTGATTAGCTTCACAAAATGGCCGCGGACTCCTTATACAATCAAAAGTGAACTACTTATTTTTTACAACTACCTGACTTTTTGATGCTTTTCTAGTGTCGAATAAAACCGGCCTATTTGGTAACTTGCATTTAAAAGTAAATAATTTTGTAAAACAAATAGTTTTAAAGCCTTTCCTTAGAAACTGATTGCAATATGACATATGGCATTAAGAAAAATCGACACGGATTTTTTAAAATTATTTAAAATATTCCGCGTTAAATCAAAATTGTTATTTTTAGATTTTTATGTGGATTTAAGCTACTTTAAATTATACGCGTATGTTTAAAAGATATAATTCTACCTTGACGTCAGAGACATCCTCCATCTTTAGTCTCCCCGTGACCACGGCTGCTGCAAAGCATCCGAAACGTCGGGCCGAAGATAAAAATCATTTTCAAATAAGTTTAACTAATATATCGCGTTTTAAACCGTTAAAGTGTATTATTTAGATATAATTCTTATATCGCATAGTACTGACATATATGTATAATAATATGTCACCTGTGCAGTATGTAGTTCACTATATCAAAACATTCATGAACATTATGAATGCAAAGTGTTTATTTCTTTTGGCCACTCAGCCGACAGTTTGGCTTCTATTCAATGATTTGATCACCAGAACAGCCCTGAACCCTCGTTCGTCATCGTTTCCTATAAAGTATTATAGAACGAACTTGCAAGGTAGGTCAATGTAAATTTGGTGTGAAATACATTTTCTACTTGAAGCTATTTATATCCCCTCCCAACGTCACTGTTTGGAAATTTTAAAAACTATTGGTGATGGAATCCGTTTTCTTGTAACCACATTAGTATGCTTAACGAAGCTTTAA